TTCCTTTATCTTATAATAAAATTAGTTATTATTAAAGTTAATCTATGTTTTGTTATTTTAATTTGATTTGTTTATGAATAGTCGAATTGATTATAGGTTTGAGTTCTTGAATTAATTAATTATGTAATGGTTATATGGAAGGTATAGATATTTATACAATTGGTAGGGCCAAATTAAGATTCTTTATTGGAACAGATGGATAAGGATCAAGAAGAAGTTAATCTAGATAAGCATCAATTCTGTTGTAAGAGCACTAATCATTTAATATTATTCAATAACTTACATCTAAATCTTATTAAAAACCTTAAAGACATTCTTCTACTTTATTCTTATATTACACAACAATCTATTCACTATTCATTTATTTTATTATTAACATTTTTTATTTTCATTTCTCTATTTCTATTAAAAAAATAATACATAAGACTTTTTCATTAGAATAAAAATTAATTTTATAAAAGGATAGATCCACATAATATAATCTTCTCTCGAGTCTACTTTATTAATTTGAAAATATAGAAAGTAAGTTTTATTCATATGGCTTGATAAAAATAATAGAGAAAACATGTTAATATAACATAGGAGTTATAACATTCTTCATTTTGGAATATTATCTAGCATGGATAAATTACAATTTTTCAGAAAGGTTTAGTCTAAAATTATTGTTTATATGAAGAATTTACATATATTTTATGCTTACATATCTATATAATTTAATTAAATTAAATTGATGATATAAGATGAAATATTCTTCCTTCTCATTTAAGAGTTCATTGTAATTTATAGACCTAAGAGTTGTATATTTAAATTGAATTAAAGCCAGATTGGTAATGAAATTGATCGTCGCGCGAATGAACAGACGCAGCCGATGTTAATCATAATTATATTATAGACATTTATATTATTCGTATTATCCTTATAGTTTTCCAATATAAAACTATTAACTATTATTTGAAAAATCTTAAAATAGCAAAAGAGTAATTGTTTACAATAGAAAAATATCTTCCTTACCAGCAAATTGTAAATTCCATATATAGCAGAACATTACTTTAGTCTTAAATATGAGTTATTTAATTATTTACCTCAAAAAATTAATTGAAAATGAATTAAAATAAACTTTAATTAAAAAAAAAGTTTTCTTAGAATACAATATTAATTCAAAAAATCTCATTAACAAATTTTAGATATATGTGAAACAAATCTGATCTCATAAATTGCTTTTTATAAAAAAATGTCAAAATAGATAATTATTAAGTAAAAATCATTGTTAGCAAATTTAAAATAGTTTGTGCATAAGTTAAAAAATAATTCTTATTGTGATATATTGTTAAATATTTAAAAAATCATAGTCCTTTGAAGAAATATGTTTATTCATAAATAAGATTTTTATAAATAATTGATTAAAATTTTAAATTAATCAATGAAAAAGAAAGATAATTAGATTATTCTGGGTGTTAGATAAATCTTTTTATTTTTAACAACATTATGGATAAAGAAAATCTAAATCTTGATACTCTTTGAGATGGAGTTATAAAGTTAAATTTGAATTATAATATATGAGATCATATAAAAATGGTAATCTGAACATTGAATAATTGTATTAGTAGAGAGAGTGAAAGGAGAGTGATAATAAAAAAGCAATAATCTTTTTATTACCTTTTGAATTTAATTGAAGGCATAAGAAAGAGTATAGATCAAAATGAATCATTTAGATCAAGTTATTAAAAACGTAATTATCAAAGACAATGGCAATTTTGACTCAAAGATTTTGGGTGAATGAACTTTTTGAATGAATCTGGTATATTGTTCTTAGAAGTATTTAAGTTAATCCTATATACTTTTAAGAGTAAAGTTAAAAATATTTTGTCTTTAGTTCATCATTATGGAATAACAAGCTATTTGTTATAAATTGTGTTAATAAATTGATTTAACATATAAATCAAGATTTTCATAAGATCAATTAATCGAAAAAAGAATAAAACTGAATTTATAATTTCAAGTTCAATTTAAACAAAGTGAATTAACAGATAATATCAATCAAATGGTGACTTAAGATTAAATACTCATGATCAAAGGGAGGGAGGATATTGTAAGTATTAATTTTTTAATGCTAAAAACTTAAAGATATATAGAAAGGCCCTAATCATAAAAATAGATAAGGGCAACTATGTAAATGGAATCTTATTAAATATTTATACTACCAAGAAGAATAATTACTGTACTGGGATTGTTTAAGATATAATAAAGACAACAGGATTACTAAAATTGCACAAATTTAAGTAAAAGTAAGCATATTAAATTATTTAGAAATATTAAAGTATTTGTAGAAAAAGGAGCAATATTTTTATCAAAATTTCTGAATAGATCATTAAGAGAAAATAAAATTAGAAGAATGCACCCATAAGAAGGAAATTCTACATATCTAAATGTGTATATATTCAATATATTTGAAAAGATAATATTAAATTTTATATTGGATAAATAAACATAGATAGTGTTATTAATTGCATGAAAATTTATCTTCAACTAGTCCATAAATGAATGAAAAAGAAGAAGGAAGCTAAGTTTTAATGAGTTTTATGGATTGAATAGAATTATATTGTAAAATAGAATTCTGTTTATCATTGATAGTTTCTTTC